GGACTAACATTCTCCTGCCCCGAATGATACAGCAGTCTGCTCCCCACACCAGGCAACTAGTATTCCTTGAAGAAGCTGTCCCCAGACCCTCTCCTGGTTAGTCATTGTTAACTAGGACTTAATCCCAACATGATCTCCCTTGAGAAGTTCCAGGCCTAATAAAGGAGGTATAAACTAGTTGCCTGGTGTGGGAAGCAGGCCAAAAGAGCTTTAAGAATGTGCCCAACATGGTAGCCTAGCGGCTAAAATCCTCACCTTGCAAACGCCAGGATCCCATATGGGCATCAGTTCTAATCCTGGCCGCCTCTCTTCCCATCCAGATCCCTGCTTGTGGCCTGGGAAAGCAGTCAAGGATGGCCAAAAGCCTTGGGAACCTACATTCATGTAAGAGACCTAGAAGAGGCTCCTGGCTTCGGATCAGCACAGCTCCAGCCATTGTAGCCACCTGGGCAGTGAATCAATGGACAGAAGATCTTCCTCTCTGTTTTCCCTCCTCTCTATATATCTGACTTTCCAATAAAAGCAAAAAAAAAAAAAGGAATTTTTTTGAAAAAGAAAAAAAAAATTAGGTGGCACTGTCAGGATCCAAGAAAATGGTGGACTTGGGTTTCAAGGGTGATTTATTAAAAGAGCCAGAAAAGCCAGGTTTCAGACCTAGAAGCACTTTCTCAGGATATAGGACTTAACTCCTTGGCAAGAACAAGCAAGAAGTCTACTCGAGTGGCTTCAGAGGCCTGCTAATGCTAAAATAGGTAGGAAGGCCTGAACTGCTCTGGAAACAGCTGAGGAATGAACACAAAAGCCTAGGGAAGTGAGCATGGCAAAATCAATAATTACGTGAACTCAAGAATGCTGCCAGGGTGCTGGTGTTGCAGTGTAGCAGCTTAAGACACCACCTGTGATGCTGACATTCCGTATGAGTGCCAGTTCAAATGCAAATTGCTCCACTTGCAATCCAGCTCCCAGCTAATATGCCTGGGAAAGCAGAAGATGGCCTAAATCTTTGGGCTCCTGCCGCCCACATGGGAGACCTGGCTGGGGTCCTTGGCTCCTGGCTTCCAGCCTGACCCACTCCTGGCCCATTGCAGCCATCTGGGGAGTGAACCAGCAGATGGAAAATCCATTTGTCTCTCCTTTTTTCTATCTTTGCTTTTTCAAATTAAACAAACAGAAGAAAATGACAATGCTCTGTAGGAGAGGGTGGCACTGAGGCCACTAGGAAAGCACTAGTGCTAAGCACCGTTGGTACGTTCCAAGGTGGCCTCCTCTACGGGCCTTGTTGCAGAGTGTAGGAGAGACCACACTGAACCCAAAGGGAGGGTGTTATGAGGAGTGTTCATTGACCAAGCTTGGTGACAGAAGCTCCTGCTACACTCCAGGAGCCACTGCACCAAGCCGCCCAGAGTCAGGGTTTGTAAGCTCTCACCCTCCAATCAGATTGAGAGCCATGCAATACAAAGTTTTAGGCAGGAAGGAAGTTAACAAAGCCCAAAGTTTTCCTATAGTTAACTAATTAACCTAGCACAATAGGAGGCAGAGGGGCCTCTGGAGTCATTTCTGTGCTGTCAACTGCTCTGGATGGTGCAGAAGGCAGGAGGGGCAGGGTGCACTTTTCCAGCCTTCAGTTAACTTGAATGGCACAAGAGGAGGTAGGAAGGACGGGATGCAGAAACTCCGTTTCCATGCCCTGTCCACTGCCGATTAACCTGACAAGTGGTGCGAGCCATGAGCCATCAATAATGGCACCCCATTACAGCCCTTGAAATGATAATACAAGAAACCATAACAGACCTGGGTGACGCAACATCCATAGAGAGCATGGTGTCATTCCATAGTGAGATTTGGTAAAGGTACATAATCCCCAAAGCTTTAGGTCACCAATTCCATAATGAACCACAGGTTCTAAAGGCCATCCAAGGGGTCATTCCCAGGGTCTGGAAATGGCTAAAACACTGTGTGCTTAGGAGCGCAATGCCTGAACAGCCAACAGGCTTGTTGTTCAACATCTACAAACTCACACTGAAGGAGTGAGCAGCTGAGTGAATAAGTTCTGTTCTTTGCTCAGCTCCCAGACAATGTTCCTGGGAAGGACAATAGCCAAACATGTGGTTTGCCCAGTGCTTGTCCCACGGGCACTTACAGCCACTTTATAAAATATTCATACATTTCTACAACAGGACACTGACCAAGACCTAGACTCTAGAAGCATGATCACAGGCCTCAGACACCAGGGGCTTACGAAGTCCTGGCTACGATAGGACTTAAAGTGACCTTGCTGACTTTCCCAGGGGACATTTCCTAGCCCCAAGCACTTAACTGAAACTTAGTTGGTACTTGGAATAATACCAGTAAGTCCCAGGGTTCTAGAGTAAGAAGGCCAAGCGGATAGCCCTGGAATTGCCCCCACACTATGGAAAAGGTGATCAATTAACACTAGTCTAGCTGTTGCTGTGAAGGTACTGTAGAGGTGAGTTAACACCTACAATAATTTTTTTAAAGAAAATATTCTGGGACCAGCACTGTGTCATAGTGGGTAAAGCCAATGGCTACAATGCCAGCATGCCATCTGAGTGTATATGCATCCAGGCTGTTTTACTTAGGATCTAGCTCCCTGTTGATGGCCTGAGAAAAGTAGTGGAAGACTTAGGCCCCTGCCACCCTTGTGGGAGCCCAAGAGGAAGTTCCTGGTTCTTGCTTTGGCCCAGGCTAGGGCTGGCATCCATCTAGGAAGTGAACCAACCGATAAAAGACTCCTCTTTCTATTTCTGTAAATCTATCAAAAAGCTCAATCTTTTAAAAACTGAAACAATCATGTGTGTGTGTTGGCTTAACTGGCTATTTCTCCACCACCATGTGCCGTATCCCACATGGATATCAGTTCATGTCCTGACTGCTTCCACTTCCCGTCCAGCTCCCTGCTTGTATCCTGGGAAAGCAGAGGAGGATGGCCCAAACCTTGGGATCCTGCACCTGCATGGGAGACCCAGAAGAAGCTGTTGGCTCCTGACTCCTGGCTTCAGGCTCCAGATTGGCTCAGCTCCGACCATTGCAGCCATTTGGAGAGTAAGCCACAGGATGGAAGATCTTTCTCTATTTCTCCTTCTCTCCATAAATCTGCTGCCTTTCCAATAAAAATAAATGTTATAAAAAAAATCAAATGATCACCCTCAATGACATGGGTGAGCCTCATCTAACCAGCTGAAAGCCTTAACAGCAAATCTGGTTTCCCTGAAGAAATTCAGCAAATGGACTACAGTGTCAGCTTCTTTTCACATACATAATAACAGACAGACAAAACAACCTAGCCAACTGTCTGAACCTTCACCACTGGCTAACCATGGAGTAGGCATGTGAGCAGAGGGCCACAGTGGCCAAGGCAGAAGCCCAAGGCAGGGCTACCTGGTGCCCAGGACTGGCCAGTCTTCCTCTGACAGGCAACACACTTAAATACTCACCCTTGGCTTTGTTGAGACTTTGTTAGACCTGCACTGCAAGGCTTTGCTAACTTGTCTTCTTTCCTTCCTTGCTTTTATTTTTATTTTTATTGCAACATCAGATATACAAAGAGGAGGACAGACAGAGAGGAAGAACTTCTGTCCAATGATTCACTCCCCAAGTGAGCACAACAGGCCAGTGCTATGCCGATCCAAAGCCAAGAATCAGCAACTTCCTCCAGGTCTCCCACACGGGTGCAGGGTCCCAAGGCTTTTGGCCATCCTCAACTGCTTTCCCAGGCCACAAATGGATCTGGATGGGAAGTGGAGCAGCCAGGATTAGAACCGATGCCCATATAGGATCCCGGTGCATGCAAGGCGAAGACTTTAGCCTCTAGGCCACAGCACCAGGCTCCTCCTTCCTTGCTTTTCCAGAGGTCAGATCTGCATCAGTCAGCCAGCTTTCCCCAGTTCCTCCAGCTTTCTATTTTCCCTTCAGGCCTTCCATCCCTGAGGGAGAAAAAACACACACACACACAACTACAAATGTAATTGAGGGCCCATTCTACCTCTCAGAGTAACTTAAGTTAGTGCACTCATCATTAAAGCACTGACCCGCCTATTGGCAGGATAAAAAAATTCAATGTTAAGAGGACAGCCCTGTGGTATAGCAAGCTAAGCTGCTGGTAGAGCTCAACATCCTATATGGGCAAGAGTTTGCATTCCAGCTGCTCCACTTCCAATCCAGCTCCTTGCTGATGGCCTGGAAAGGCAACAGTATGATGATGACCCAAGTGCTTGGGCCCCTGCACATACAGGGGAGACTCAGATGAAGCTCTTGGCTCCCAGTTTCAGACTGGTGACTGGCCCAGCTCTGGCCATTGGGGCCATTAGAGGAATGAACTCATGGATCTCTTTCTTTCTCTCTCTGTAATTCTGCATTTCAAGTGAAATAAAATTTAAAACAAAAATTCAACGTTAAGACTTCAAGAAATAGTTCCTACCAAATTCATAAGGGACTGATGGTAAAACAGAAATTAAGACTCAAAATAAGAATGACCTGTCAGTCAGACCAGAGCTATACAATGGAGCCACCCAAGCGAGTGGCTAAGTGAATGGCAGACTAAGCCCAGAAGCAGTCTGGTGTGTCTGCCCACAGAATCAGGAGCTGACTAAGCCAATGCAGAAACCACACAAATGTCCGCCCTGAGGAATGGAAACCCAAATGTGGTCTATCTATACCGTATTATTGAGCCCTAAGACAAAATGAAGCATTGATATGTGTGCCGCCAACATGGATGAACCTGGAGCACGCCACACTGAAAGAAGGAAGCCAGAAACAAAAAGCCACTACTGTGTGACTCCTCCTCTCTGAGCTACCCCAAACAGGCAAATCCACAGAAACAGAGAGCAGGTGGGTGGTTTCCAGGGACAGGGACGACGGGGTAACAGCATGTCATTGCTTCCTGGGTCTGGAGTTTCATTTAGTGACGATATTCACATGTCGAACTAGAAACAGCAGGTGTTTGTACAGCAAGGTGAATCCAAGTGCCACTCAGCTGTTTGGAAATAGGTTACTTTTATATTAAGTAGACTTTACATCAATACAAATAAGTTTCAAGGGGAAAGAATCAGTGGAAAATTTTCTCAACAACAACAACAAAAAGGCATTTAAAGTTGATTTCAAACAGGGTCTGGAGAGGGAACTGGCTATTCTAAAAAACTCCATCAATGCCAGTGTTGTGTAGTGGGTTAAGTCTGCTGCCTGCAATGCTGGCATCCCAAGTGGGCACCAGTTTTAGGTCACAGCTGCCCCAACTCTCAACTGATGTGTGTAGCACAGGAGCAGAATATAGCCCACATACTTGGGCCTCTACACCCATGAAGAATATGTGAGTAGTTAGTTCCTGGCTCTGCTCTGGCCTAGCCCCAGTCACTGTTGCCAAGGCACTCTGCCTTCCTAGTAAATAAAATGAGTCCTTTCAAAACAACAACAAAACCAGAATGCAATCACATTGACCTCAGGCGGTCTGAATCAAGTTAAGCCCCACTTCACTGTAGTTCTATCTGCTAAACTCAAAAGGCCTTGCAATAATGGGTTCTCAACATCAAAGACAAAGTCTAGGACTCTAGAATTGTCTGTGCTTTCCTTTTTCTGGCAATTTCATCTCAGGCTGGGGGTGGCTTATGGGTTCAAAGACCTTATCTGTGATCCCAAATTGAGGACACACTCTCTGTTAAGTTCCAAATGTATTCCCAGGGATGATATGTGGATTGTGCTTAAAAACATAAATGCAGGGACCTGACACCGAAACTACATTCCTCTAAGGGACTACTAATTAAAAGAATTCAGCTTTAGAGACTTTACTGAGAGAAATCGTAACGGTGTAGCTGACTCGGACTACATTTTAAAAACATATCATTTCCAGATCTCCAGAGGGTGGATCCAACCTCAGTGACGCCTGCGATCACTGGGATTCGAGGAGTCCCTCTCGCGGGAGCAACGGGCCCTCTTCTGTCGGTGCGATCGCTCTCGGCTCCGACTTCTACTCCGATGGCTCCGGCCTTCTGAATACCCATCATGCCAGTTCGAATGTGACTCTGTGCTTCGTCCTTTATCCCTATCCCTGTTCCTTTCGTCTCTCATTTCCCTCCTGTCGGAGGACCTATGCTCATGTTTTGATCTCTCCTTCTTCGGCTCCCTGGCTGGTTCCTCAACTCTTCTGCCAGAGGCGGTCCTGGCCTCAGGGGACCCAGGGTAGTGCTTCCGTGCCTCCCTGGCTTCTGACCTCTGGGCCTTCTCGGAGCTCTTGCTGCTCTCTGGCTTCGGTCCAGACTCATCCTTTTCCTTTGTGGTCTTGCTTCTGGGCAAGGAAGAGGTAGATGCTTGCTCCACCTGCACCTCCCGGTCATGCTTCTCTTTGTCTTTCTTTTTCTTCTTTTTCTCCATTTTGTCTGGAGGAAAGGGGGAATAAGAAAAGCAAAAGTAATAGAGAACTCCTTAAAACTGTGCCTTTCTTCTCTGAGTATGTGACATCTGACAAAGTTGCAACAACTGGCCACCTGCATGGAGGGAAGCATGTATGGAAGAAGACCCTGGGAAGCAGTTTGTAATAGTCAGGAAAGCACATCTGACAAGCCAACTTCAACATCCATCACTCGCAAGGTTCCTGCTGTGAAATTTCTCTATATAAAGACCACATGTGGGGAATAAGAACTAACAGTATCAATAACTCTGGGGGATACAATTCTACCCCTAAACAGTAGCCTCTTGCTGATATCCTCCCTTTCGCAATTAGAACAAATCCCCCCATCTCCTTCCTTCTCTTATGTAACACCCGACTATCAACCATAGTCAGTGGATGCTAGGAAGAGCAGGCACTAAGACTAAATCTGATTTCTCTTGGGTTTCCACACCTTACCTTTTTTGTGCTTTTTTGAGGGTTTATCATCTTCAGAAGCCTCAGATGCACTCGGGGAGGGCGTCCTAACCCCACAGCCCGTCTCCTGGAGCTCTCTGGTCACCTCGTCCATGTCCTCTGAGACCTTAGGCACCCGATAGTTAGCCACATGATCCACTCGGATGGTCCTTCCTTTAATCTGAAAACAAAAAAATGAGGTAATGTCTCAGAAAGGATGGCTTCATTTCAAACTCTCCAACTGTGCAGCAAGTCATGACAGGGCAGGGAGCCAACACAATCACCTCCTGAATCGCTTCCTGACGAATGTCTCCACACCTCTATAGGCCTTGCCACACACCCGGAAGTCTAGCCAAACGCTGCTCACCAGGCACACTCACCTTGATCCCATTAAAATTGTCAACAGCCAGGATTGTGCTCCTTTGGTCTTCATAGCAGAGGAAGCAGAAGCCTTTGGATTTTCCAGTCTTCTTGTCCCGCACGAGATTAATATTAACAACCTCCCCATATCTATTGATGTGATAAGAGTTAAAGACATTATTGACTCAAAATTTACAACAATGTTCAGGTATAATAAAAACAAAATTCAGTGCCAGCACTATGGCATTGCAGGTAAAGTCACTGGCATCCCATATGGGTACCACTGTGAGTCTCAGCTGCTTCACTTCCCATCCAGCTTCCTGCTAATGGCCTGGGAAAGCAGCATAACACCCCAAGTGCTAGGGCCCCTACACTCATGTGGGAGACCCAGAAGAAGCATCTGGCTCCTGGCTTCAGACCAACACAGTTCTGGCCATTGTGGTCATTCGGGGAATGAACCAGCAAGTAGAAAATTCTCATTCTCTCTTTCTCTTTCTCTGTCTCTCTCTCTCTCTCCCCCTCTCTCCCTCTCTCCATCTCTCCGTCTCCTTCTCTGCCTTTCAAATTAAAATAAAGTTAAATCTTTTTTTTAAAAAAAATGTTTTGAAAGCCATTGTTATTGGTGGCAAAGGCAATCTTCATGGAGAGAATGCATATAGCTAGAAGAGAGAAGTGGAATAAACATAAACTTCTAGCTAATCACCACTAAGTGCAAGCAGAAATAACAGCAGTTCCAATATGAAGGCTGGGTCAGCTAAAGTACCATGAAAGGAAAGAAATCATAGCTAACAGAAATAGACTTCTCCTTGGAGGACCCTTGGCTTCTGTGGGCTGCGTAGGCCCTCTACCAACGGCCTTCTCACACGTTACCCAATTCCTTTCCCACAGGCTGCTGCCCCATATGCTGCCCAATCTCTCGGCTAGGGCTGTCTATGGGATGCTCCAACCATTTTGTAGCATATCAATGTGTGCCAGGATCTGCAGCCTGTGTACAGTTGTCCAGCCCTCTGTCTGTGGTCCTCCACCTGTGCTTGCTTTCAATTTCTTTGTCAAAATCCTTTGCTTCTGTCAGTATGGACACCGAGAACCGTATCTCGACTGCCTAGGAGATCCACAGGGAATGTGAATGCCCTCGGAGGCTGAGAACTCTGAGGTCACTCATTTCCTATTGGATTTCCCACACAGGATGGCAGCAATCCAAAACCCTCTCATAGGGTCTGGTGACATCAGAACTACAGCCAGGAGCCCCGGATGGTACTCAGAGATAAAAGGGTTGTAAATCTCATTTTGGACTCAGGAGAGGAGCTTTCTCTGGTCCTTATCTAGTTCCAGCCTTGGCTCCCAGGCCTCTCTTACACATACCATCAGGACTGTTTGTGAGCCCCAAAATTAGATCAGATAGACACATATCAATAAAGGTCAGCTAGTTGATAATCATGCAGCTTGTACCTCACTGATCAGGCTTCCCATCTGGCTTTTCAGATAGACAGAGACAGACATGGATATAGAAAGTCTGGAACAGCCAGGGAAAAGGCCAACTAGCCTATAATCGCTCAGCCTGTACTTACTGGTCAGGCTCCCTATTTGCTTCTCCTGGACTTTACTAGGTAGGATGTAGAGTTAAATTCTTCCTCACTCACCAGGTTGTTTCAGGCTCACCTGCCTGAAACTTTTCTATTCTTCAATTGTTAAAATGCAAAGTTCTGTAAAACCATGCTTAATCACTATATACTGCAAAGTTTAAATTGTGGCTTAATTTCCCCCCCCAAAAAAAATTTTTATCAATTTATGACTGTTAATGCTAAACAAGATGTAACAGTACAGAAACTTTGTTGTTAAGTTTGAACTTAGCTGTTATATATATGATGGATTTTTTTAAAAAGGCTTCCAATTCAGATAAAAAAAAAAAAAAAATCCTCTGCTTCTGAAGGTTATGCCACCCAGAGGCAGTGGTGTTCTGCTCCAATGTTTGAGTCGCTGAGGGGGTGGCCCCGAGGACTGTCTACCAGCTCGGTATAGCTCTGGGGTTTTATGAACAGCCACACAGGCTCTTTCCTATCAGGTGCTTCTCCCAGTACAAGCCATCAACATCCCTTGACCATCACGTGCTACTGATCCACTCCCACAGCAGAACGAAAACTGTATAGGTCTCCTAGTCACTCTTGTTCCTCGGGAGCCATTCTCAGCCTCTGGGTAAAGACATGGTTCTGCTCACTAACTTCCCACTCATCCAAAAATAAAGAACACATACAACCACCTAAACCTCCCGGTTCTTCCAAATTCCTCTCTCTCGTTAGCCCTGGTTCTACAGCAGGCCGCAGATGAGAGATCAGAAGGCCCCTGTGATCATGGGTTACCCCTACTTGGCAGGAACCCAAACAGGTGGGCCAACCTGGGACCTTCCTGAGAGTTGCAGTCTGTTTCTGTGTAGGCCTGGGGTTAGCCAACGTCAGCAAAAATCCCCGAGACAGCCATCAATATCTACCTTCCAGGATCTTCCACAGTGTCCAGGGACTGATCCAGACTAACGCAAAGCTCCAGCCCTGCCCATGCAGGGATGCCAGGCTGCCTAGAGCTTAACAGTATATGGCTTTGGTGATGCCACAAAATGTATTATGGAAGGACCCAACCTGGCTGACCCAGGAGGCAGGAAATGCAATGAACTTACTGTGAAAACACACAAATGATATCCCCTTCTGTCAGTTCATAAGGAAGCCCTCCTAGAAGAGACAAACACGTCAGTTTAATATTTACTAAATGTCTACGAAGCACCATTAGCACCAGGCACTGAGGATGTAGAGTTCCCTATAAACCTTATAAAATATATATCCCTCTGATACAATGACGGAAGTACATGTAGAAGTGCCTGCAGGACAAAGGAGTGATTCTGCTTGAGTGGAAGGGTCAGGCCCCACTAGCCAAACTCATCTGATCCACTCAGCCTTCCTCATACCCAAAAACCTATGGACAGCGCCGGCACGATGCTTCAACTGACTAATCCTAGCCTTGCAAGCTCTGGGACCCCATATGGACAGTGGTTCATGTCCCAGCTGCTCCATTTCCCTTCCAGCTCCCTGCTTGTGTCCTGGGAAATAGTAGAGGATGGCCCAAAGCCTTGGGACCCTACACCCACAGGGGAGACCCAGAAGAAACTTCAGGTTCCTGGCTTCGGATTGGTTCAGCTCAGACCACTGTGGCCATTTGGGGAGTGAACCACCGGATGGAAGGTCTTTCTCTCTGTCTCTCCTCTCTATTAATCTGACTTTCCAATAAAGATAAATAAATCTTTAAAAAATCTTACGGATAAAGCAGGTTCTATCATAAAACTCCACTTTCACAAATATACTTGAAATTTACATATTTGTTAGCTCCATTTTATAGGTAATATCCAAAATGAGTTTACATGCAACATCATTAACCCCACCAACTAAGCATTATGAAGACCACCATTAAGCATACATAGCAAACAATATCCCTTCCATGTGTTCTTTCCTCTTATTTCTTCTTAAAGATTCATTCTTGTTTTCATTGGAAAGGCAGATTTACAGAGAGAGGTTATTCATCTACTGGTTCACTCCCCAAATGGCCACAACAGCCAGTGCTGAGGTGCTTCAAAGCCAGGAGCCAGGAGCCTCCTCCGGGTCTCCCACATGGGTGCAGGGTCCCAAGGACAGAGCCATCCTCCTCTGCTTTCCCAGGCCACAAGCAGGGAGCTGGAAGGGAAGTGGAGCAGCCAGGACTCGAACTGACATTCATATGGGATGCTGACTCTGCAAGCAGATCCTACTATTCTATGCTGCCAGACCCTTTTTCTTCATCTTTAAAACATAGATAGTAAGAACCCCAACCATGAAGACACTATGTCAGCCAGTGGATTCTGAAGAGATCTCATCGTGCTTGGAATGGCGAGACTGACAACAATTCAGAATTGTTGAACTATCAAAACAGGACCCTCAGAGCATGCCCACATCAGGGACCTGGGTTGGGTGGGAGGCTGAGTGGGGCTTCTCCCTTTGTTTTTCCCCAACCCCACATACAGGGGAAAAAATGATTTTTAAAAAAAAAAAAAAACATAGGCAGCAGTGCTTGCCTCTTACGGTTGTTATAAAAAGTTAGGCAATACATACAGAGTGTGCAGCAGAATGCACGGTACAACAACCCTGCTGAAGTGTCCCTTGGCACGGCTGGCGTTGTGGTGGGACAGGTAAAACTGCCGCTTGTGAGACCAGCATCCTATATGGGTACTGGTTCAAGACCTGGCTGTTCTCCAGTCTGGTCTAGCTCCCTGTTAATGTGCCTGGGAAAGCACCAGAAGATGACCCAAGTGCTTGAGCCCCTGCACCTCCAGGGGAGACTAGGAAGAAGCTCCTACATCCTGGCTTGGCCCTGGCACCAAGTCAGCCCTTGTGGCAGTAAATTTGCAGGAAGATGTATAAATCTTTCTTAAAAAGTCACTCTGCAGAACTACTGCCTGCGACACAAAATGAGTATAGGGATGTCAACACAGCTGTGGATAAGAGTCCGTAGTGAATTGGAGGCAGAATATGAATTCTGAGGGAACTAGAAAGGTGTAGGGCAGATGGGAGTAATACAAATTCGTGGCAAAGACTATGCGTTATTAGAATCCTGTACTTCTGGCTGTTGCCATCTGACCTTCACGAAATCCATCATCTTCTCTCTGCCTCAGTTTGTTCAGCTGTACAATGGGTTGATGAGTGTGTCTGCAACAACCATGATCTCCAAAAAAACCAAGCAGCAAAAGTGAATGGCAAACATAAATTCCTATAACTGATTTGGCAACGAGGGCTAGGTAGAAGTCATATAGTGAACAGGAAAATGGATTGCGGCGCAGACAGAAGATGCAAAGAAAACTGGTTGTGAAACGTGAGAAGGAGGGCAGGACAGAAATCTTGAAACGGTCCAAAGTAGGCCAGGGGCGAGTCTGAGGAAAACCGCGGGTCTCACCCAGAAAGATCCAAGCACTGTCCTTGTATTCCGAGTGCCACGACACCTTCTCCGCCACCCCGAGCTGGACCTCCCGCTCATTCAGCTCGTTGATCAGCTTCACCTTAGTTAACGGACTGCCCAAGGAAAAACAAGACAGCCGAGTCCGCCTGCGCTTCCTGGCAAGCTGCTCCGGCTCGTCGCGCCTCCCACCCCCCGTCGGCCCTGCAGACGATCCGCCGTCCCAACCCCGCCAGGCTACCCCCCAGAAAGCCGCTCTCCCTACACCCAGAGGAAAATTCAGGTCTTACTTCATCTTGTCAGATTCGCGCTCAGCATCTAGAATTTCCCCGGTAAGGTTGCGCGGCGCATGCGCGACCTCGGCGTCGCTCTCTCTAATAGGTAAGCAGTTTGCGACGCAACAAGTCGGCGGCGCGGGATTATTACGCAGGCGCCGATTTTCTTTCTTCCTGCAGGCTCCGTGGAATCACCACCTCTTGAAACGTGGTTTACCTCTAGTCCTTCCGTTCGCTCTTTAAAATGGTACCTAGGCTGCTCCCATATCCCTAGCCGGTGAACGACGCCTGGAACTAGTTAGTGCTTACTTGAGCAAACTGAACAAGATTCTTTAGGAGACGGCGTCAGTGCCAGCTGCTAGACTTTTCCGTAGCCTCTCTCCTAGTTGATCCAGAGGCAGAAATAATGGCGGAATTAACAGCTAACAACCGGGCAGATGATGCCCTAAATGTCACTAGATTATGTGCTGATCACTTCGCATATGCTGTCTCTCCACTTTGCCCACCCCATATGAAATAGTTAAAATTGCCATCCCCGTTTTATAAAGCAAAAAATGTTCAGGTCCAATTAGCTTTCCCTGCACCAACCAGGCAGATTGATTCAACAGGTCATTATTGAGTCTTTTTTTTTTTTCTACTGGTCTTATAGAGCTAAAGTTTGTACACAGGAGCCCAAGGGTGACTTAATACTTATTAATTAAAAATAGTGAATTAATATAATTGGGCCAGGCCAGGGTGAGGGATTGGGGGTGAGAAGTGATTTGAACATCCCATTTTGGACCCCGCACTTCCTGCTTTGCCTTTCCCACAGCTCGTGAAATTCGTGCTGTTCTGGTTATCCACCTTACCTGAGAATCTTACTCCCCAGTCTCTAGTGGCCCCTCCCCCTAGTCCCCACCCACCTACCTGTGGCTCAGATCATCTCAGTCACCAGTCTCTGGGGCAAACACAGAACCCACACAACTCCTCCTTTCTCATTCCCCCTCTCTTTCCTTCCCTTCTCCTGACTCTCCCATCCTCCATCCTGTCCCTGCCCCGGCAGCCCCCATCCTCCCACCATGACAGGAGACGTGTCCCTTCTAGTTTTCTCCTCCTCCACCCCCACTCCCGTTCCTACCCTGTTGGAATAAAAGGAACTCCTATTATCTCATCACATCTGGTATTTTTGGCTTAAAGCAAAAGAAGACTTGGCTGCAGGAATTAGCTGAGTGTAATAACGTCAGAATGTACGAACTTTAAGTGCATTTTAAAACATAACATTGAAAGTGGCAGTGGTGTGGGAAGGTGGTAAGCTTATGGCACCATAACATTGTAGGCTAAGCCTCTTCCTACTGTACCAGCATCCCATATGGACACTGGTTAAAGTCCTGGCTTCTCCACTTTCAATCCTGATTCCTACTAACATACCCAGGAAGGCAGCAGAAGATGGCCCAAGGTCTTGGGTCCCTGCACCCACGTAGGAAACCCGGGAGAGTTTCCCAGCTGCTGGTTTCAGATCAGGTCACCTCTGACCATGTGTGACCATTTCAGGTGTGAACCAGCGGAATGGGAGATTTCTCTCTCTCTCTGTTTCAAATATAAATAAGATAAATATTTTAAAAACATCATCTTATAAATGAAATGTAAACAGTGACAGAGTGCATACAGGTCTGCTCTGCTCCTGAGAATCTCTGCTTGCTTAGTTGTTGGCATGAAGTAACCACTGCAAAGTACTCAACCAACACCACACGCTAGCTTCCTAATTTCTTCAGGTAACCTTGAAATCACAGTTGGGCCATTAGCTTTCCTAAGAAAGTTGGAGCAAAATAAATAAATAAATAGGGTTGAGATCCAGCAACCAAATGAAAGAAAAGCTTAAACTGAAACCTTGCAAAGGTTGTTACTATCCAGCTGATGGGTTCAGCACAGGTATTCTGAGACTGAGAGAGCTGAAAACAAAGCCAGATTGGCTGGAACTGAGACAATTTCTGGCACTCCCAACTTTGAAAACTACAAATGGGAGAATCAAGATGGCGGAATAGGGTGAGGATATGTTTAAACGGATGGAGAAACATTTGATCAGGATGAAGCAGAGAGGACACATTCCAGGAAAAAGGAAAGAACAGAACAACAGCAGAGGGGTACCTGGAGACTGACAGAGGCAGGAAAGCAGCGGACACAATGGTGTGGTGTTGCAGTGACTGATACTCCAGCGGCATTCAGCAAATGGAGATCTGAATTCCACTAGCAGTTGGAACTCAACCAGCAACCAGGTGGGAAGGGGCATTCACTGGGAGCTCAGGAGGTGAGCCCAGACAAAGAACTGTCCATCCTGCAGGTCTGTTTGATTTGACCAGGGGCAGAGACAGAGTGGCAGATCCCAGAACAGGGTGGATTTCACAGTCCAGTCAGCCCCGTAGAGCGGAATTAGATGCCATTTTGCCTAAGGAGGCAAAAGGCAAGGGAAAGCACTGAGCATACACTGAGCTGGGAGTGAAACTAATTTCTGACTCAGTGAACTGCAGCATCGTGGCATTCTAGAGGTTCCACGCAAGACAGGTCTGGGTAGCCCTCACCTGATGATCAGATCAAGAAGTCTAGTAGTGGTACATCAGGCAACATTTTGTACAGTGTGGCTAAAGTTTTAGGACTGCAGGGTACAACAGTAAACTGCGCATTTGCTGAGCTCGCGAGAACTCACTGGTCCTACAGGAAAATAATACAAACTGTGGCATCATATGGGTTAAATTAGGTCCGTGTGGTCCTCAGATCTAACAGCCAACAGGTTTTGGCAAGATCAGCACCACCAACAATCTAGTTATATAGGACACCTGGTGTCTCCCTAATCTTGGGACCTGCTCCAACCAGAAGTGGGAGAAAGGTTGCAGAGACAACAGCGCAACCCCAGCAAGATATCACAGGACATGGAAAGTGGTGAGCCAGGAGCTGGGGCTAAGGAGAACAGTGGAAATCTAACATAAGACCTAGACCTGGAACTTGCTGGAGGGAGTGGCACAATTGGCTGCAAGCAAAGAGCTGTGTACCAACTGCAATAAGTAAAATCAAACCGTAGACCTGTGGATGACAGAGCTTAGAAACCTGCCCCAAGGAGAAGACTCTGCTAACTAGAAGTACAATGACCCACAGCAAAAGACACAAAGGCAAAATGAATATTACTGAAAATTCCTGTGCAAAGGAGCAAAACACATTGCCAAACTCAGAGTTAACTGAGGAAGAGATTGAGAAAACAGGGGACACAGAATTCAGAAAACTCATTTTAAAGCTTCTGATCAGCAATGAGAAGCACATACAAGAGTTCAAAGAATTTAAGGAATGTGTTACACAAGAAATAGCAGCAATAAAGCAAATCAAGGCTGATATAGCAGAAATTAAGAACATGGTAGAGCAAATTAAAAGTACAATGGAGAGTCTCCAAAATAGAATGAAGCAAGCAGAAAAAAGTATCTCAGAACTGGAAGATATTTCCTGTTACCAAGGGGAAATAAACAAAAAGCTGGAGGCATAGCTAGATCAGGCCAAAAAAAGTATTCAAGAATTTAAAGAATTTAAGAGGCCTAATATAAGAGTTATGGGAGTCCCAGAAGGTGCAGAAAGAGAAGCTGGGTTTAAAAATGTATTTAATGAAATAATAAGGGAATATTTCTCTAATCTAGAGAAAGAATTGGGAAACAACATCCAGGAGGGGCACAGAACTCCCAACAGGCTTGACCAAAAGCGATCTTCACCAAGACACATGATTATCAAGCTCTCTTCAATTGAACATAAGGAAAAGATCCTTAAACCTGCACGTGAAAAAAATCAATTGACATATAAAGGAATGCCAATTAAACTCACAGATCTCTCACAGGAAACTCTACAGGCAAGAAGAGAATGGAGTGACATATTCCAGATTCTAAAAGAAAAAAAAATTGTCAGCCCAGGATAACATATCCAGCAAAGCTTTCTTTTGCTTTTGAAAATGAAATAAAATTCTTCCACAGTAAAGAAAAGTTAAAAGAATTTGCCTCTTCCAAACCTGCCCTATAAGTAATACTTCAAGATGTTCTCTTGACAGAGAGGAGGAATAGTGTCCACCAAAACCAAAGGCAAATGGGAAGAAGATCTCAGTAAAATGACAGCAATGAACAATCCATTCCTAAATGACAGGACCAAAGTACCACCCATATGTATTAACCCTGAAAGTAATTGGCTTAAGCTCAATCAAATGTCATAGATTAGTAGACTGGATTAAAAAGCAAAACCCATCTATTTGTTGTCTAAAAGAGACACATTTCACCTAAAAAAATCAGCGGAAACTATATCTCATGGATTTTTATGTTTTTGTTAGTTTCATCTCTTCAAAACAGTTTCTTCTGATTAAATTATTCAATGACAGATCATACAGTAACATCATTTTCTTCAAGAAGGTTCTTGACTTTCTTTTTTATTTCTCCAGCGACACATTAGTCATTCAGTAGCATGTTATTTAACTTCATGGTGTTATTAATTTCTTTTTTTTTTTCCTGTTGTTGATTTTGTTTTGTGGCTTTTCATTTAAGGGGATGTATAGTAGTTGTGTAATGGGGACTCTCATATCTAGTAACATGTTATTTAACTTCATGGCATTGTAAATTTCTATTTTTCTTCCTATTGTTGATTTTGTATTGTGGCTTTTCATTTAAGGGGGTTACAGTAACTGTGAAATGGAAACTAACATACCCAGATCTGAGGATACAGACAGAGATGAACTTACAATGAAACTATTTACTATATCTTGAGAATAGGATGCTGGACTCTCTGCCATTGTCCATGCCCACAATAATGTACATATGACTGTGTATGAAGAACTATACTTTAGTAATGATATAAGGGAACTCGGTAGACCGGGGGGTGGGGGGAAATTTGGGAGGAGATAAGGGAAATCCCAGGAGCCTATGGAACTGTATCATAAAAATAATAATAAATAATAGTAATAATAATAACAAAAAAAGATTTAAAAATAAAGAGCAGGAATGTTTCCTGTATGAACCGCAATGAAGAAAAGAAAAGAAAAGAAAACTACAAATGATAAGCCTGGAGCAAACCTAGACAGCTGTTCACCCCATGAGAGCCTCAA